TACAGGCCACATTCTATCAGAAAATTTTTTTCCGGGTCGATCTGAGACAATTGTTTTTTCGGGGCTCAAAAAAAGGCAGTATATAACCTTCCTTTTTTACAAAAAATCGACTGCACCAAAATTTCGGAAAAACACTTTTTCTTATTAATTTTGGTGCGTAGAATCCAAAACAATTCGTACTTTTTCGATCAGACTTCTCAATCAAAGGTTATAGACTAGAAACCAATTTCGAAAGAAAATTCAAAGGGCTGTAACTTTTGAACTAGTAGCCCAATCTTGGAACTGTTTGAAATTATGGATTCTACAGGCCACATTCTAAAGGAAAATTTTTTCCGGGTCGATCTGAGACCATTTTTTTTTAGGGCCTCAAAGGTTATAACCTTCCTTTTTTACCAAAAATCGACTGCACCAAAATTTCTCGGGAAAACACTTTTTCTTATTAATTTTGGTGCGTAGAATCCAAAACAATTCGTACTTTTTCGATCAGACTTCTCAATCAAAAGTTATAGACTAGAAACCAATTTCGAAAAAAAATTCAAAGGGCTGTAACTTTTGAACTAGTAGCCCAATCTAGGAACTGTTTGAAATTATGGATTCTACAGGCCACATTCTATAAGAAAAATTTTTTCCCGGGTCGATCTGAGACAATTTTTTTGAGGGCCTCAAAAAAGGCAGTGTACAACCTTCCTTTTTTACCAAAAATCGACTGCACCAAAATTTCTCGGAAAAACACTTTTTCTTATTAATGTTGGTGCGTAGAATCCAAAACAATTCGTACTTTTTCGATCACACCTCTCAATCAAAGGTTATAGACTAGAAACCAATTTCGGATGAAAATTCAAAGGGCTGTAACTTTTGAACTAGTAGTCCAATCTAGGAACTGTTTGAAATTATGGATTCTACAGGCCACATTCTATAAGAAAAGTTTTTTTCCGGGTCGATCTGAGACAATTTTTTTTGAGGGCTTCAAAAAAAGGAAGGTTATAACCTTCCTTTTTTACCAAAAATCGACTGCACCAAAATTTCTCGGGAAAACACTTTTTCTTATTAATTTTGGTGCGTAGAATCCAAAACAATTCGTACTTTGTCGATCAGACTTCTCAATCAAAAGTTATAGACTAGAAACTAGGGAATGCAATACCGGGATTGCGGGATCCCGAAATACCGGGATCCCGCAGCATTTTTGCGAGATTAATCCCGCACATAAATGGAGCGGGATCCCGCGGGATTTGCGGGACTGAGGAATCTGTCGACCAAGGGGACGACTCTGTTTACTTTGTTAATGAAACTGATAACGGCGAATTATTTTTTAAATAATTGTTAAACTTTTTTCGTTAAAAATGTACTATGATTTTTGATGCACTTTAGAAGACTTTTTGTACTTTACAGGTAAGATTTTTTTGAGTTCTAAGTTAGGCCGAAGGTACTTTTTTGTTCAATATTGTGATAATTAGCGATTTATTTTAATACAGAAGTTAACCGCACAGAATTGCTTATTTGCCAATTTATTTAAAGTTTTGCGAGATCCCGCGGAATTAACATCTAATAATCCCGCAAATACCGGGATTGAGATTTTGCTGCGGGATTGCATTCCCTAGTGAATACTACTTGTGAGTATTCTGTTCTCTTGAAAGTTCGACAGTAAAAGAAAAGTTGGTTTTACAGACGGATCTTCTTTCTACAGGAAACCTAAGCAAAACCAGTTGCCAAATTCTTGATAGAATAGCTTCCTAGCTTACATCCTTTATGCCAAAAGTCTTATTAATTTTTTGTATGTGCCTTTTATCACTACTTAGACACTAAATTGTTCAAATTCTCAAAGGAAAATTTTTGTTGACCTTTTACAGAATTCAATGTTATTTGGATGTTATACTATCTTAAACGATTATTAATTCTGGGCAATTTTTTATTGGTAGGTACATAATTGAGAATTGCTTTGTTTTGGATTCCTTCTATTGTTTTGTGCAGCCCAAAGCATTTTCCCTCTGCGATCTTGACACACTTTCCGTCAAGCATGCGAAAATTGTTTAACGATTTTTTAACAAGTGCTAAAAGCTCCAAATCGCGAAATTCGCGTCGCTTTTATATCCTTTGCGTGTGCTGTTTTTTTAAGACGTTCTGCAATTGCTTCCGTTAGAACAGTAACTGTCTCGACAACGGCAATGCGGTCTTTCGAATACCCTAATAAATATGTTAGGTTGCTTTTTGAAAAAAAAAAGTTCAATGCCGTTGCGGCGCTATCTCTAATATTGTGTCAATGTGTAACGTTCATTAGGTATTTTTAGACTTACCTAACTATTCAATGAGATACAGTTTTGCCTCAATTTTGAATTGTATACCTACTTCATCTTACGGGTAATTAGCCCAGTTCACCTTTTTATTCAGTCTAAATTTTTTTAGTTACCTCAAGAGACAAAAAAGATTGTCATCAGCAGGATTTTCCCAGCATTTCAGTTGCGGTGTCATATTTATTGTAAGAGTGACAACTACAATTCGTAGCTATACAGAGCAGCTAAGTTAATACATTGTAAAAGGTAAAGAAAACATAAGTAAGAAGGATTATGTACTTCTATGTTCTATCTGACTGTTTTAAGGGCCAATAAAACTACTAAGATACGTATAGTTAATTTAGATGAAAGGGATTACGTTAGTAGAGTACATAGATATGCTGATACCATGCTCGTTACTACTATAGGTATATTCAAAATGAGTTCGAGGAATGTCAATTAAAATAAACCAGTGTTCACAGGCAGACAGACAGATCGGTTTGCATTCGGGACAAATCTCACATAGATACAGACACCACGCAACGGTAGCTGTAAATTTGCATTTAAATTTTTTCGAAATTTCGTTGTGTTACAAGTTAGAAACATTTGAGATTCTAAGACCCAGTAGTACAATGTTAGTTTAAACTTCAGTTTATAGTTATAGTTAAGTTGTGGGTTAACAAATTTGATTGGCTAATATTTCACAAGTTGACCGTTATGGAAATGAAGCTCATTTTGGTTGCCTTGTTTAATTTCAATGAAGCTTTCGGAAACCTTTGGTATGCCTGGCTTTTATACCATATTTCGTCTTCTTAATTAGTGTTATTTGATTATAATTGCACAATTGTAAAAAAAGCTAATTTAGCTGAATTTCAATAGGAAATCACAGCTTTTTCTTTTGGTCTTTCGTGAATATAGCGATTCCTATTGGCACAATGAAAAACATGGTGGATTTAAATTACTAGACGTTATTAACACCAAATAGTAGGGATTAGTCTGCGAGAAAAAATTAATAATTAATAAATTGCGAAGTTCGCAAGAACATTTTTTTCGGATAAAATTGGTTTCCGGCGATGTTTTCTTGCGCCGAGATGGCGACGCCGAAAAGTACAATTTCCTCGCGGGTACAAATTAGTCGTAAATTCAAAAGATTGTTATATTGGGATCCTAAATTTTTTACATTTTATAATGGAAAAAAAACCCAAAATTCCTCACTGGAATATAACCAAGAACTAAATAGTTGATAAATTAATATGTTTATAAGTTCCTTTTGAACACAAAGTAATTTAAAATTCAAAACGCCAGTTTAGAGGTCTTTTCTTAACATTTCAGATGATGCTGACGAATGCGTGGAGCAGGTTAAACAAAAAATTAACTTTTTTAAATTTTATATTTGATCTCAATAAAAATACCGTAACGTAAATTTAATTACGTGACTTATTTATTTACAATGAACTAACAATAAATTTAAATCAGTCTTCAAAAGGATTGATTTCTAACAGAGAGGGAGGAATATTCTAGAATATTCGCAAAAAAACAAGTCCATATTTCGCGGTTAAGTTTTTTAGTTTTTCTTTACATGATTCTAGTGGTCGGTCGTGCATAATAGCATTAATGATTAATTTTTTTGTAATTAGTAATTGCCATTGAAATTGTACACCAGTGAATGGCCCCCTACGAGAGACTGGATTGTACTTGTGCATTGTAAAAAGTAAAATTGACTTTGTATCGGTAACTTGCTTTCAAATGAGTATTTGTTAACATCTAAGTATTTTGCTCAATGAAAAACGTGAATTGGAAAGCATTATGAGGGGATAATGGAATCATCAATAGATCTTCACATCGACGTCGAATGTAGAAGACAAATTATTGTCATCGGCGATTCACAGAATTCCAAAATGAATTCTATAAACAATAACAGAGTTGGGGGACCAAGTTTATTTGTATAAAATGAACAAAATGGGATTCAGCGAGGTCGCTATTGTTTTTCAGCTACGTTAGACTATGGAGCCAAAAAATTTTTATAAAAATGATGGATGCATGAAGATATTGTGGGTCGTTCGCTATTCGGTTGTATCGGATTTTTGCGTTACAAAGTTGATAACAAACTCACATGGAAAAATCATTGCTACACAGTATGTTGCTTTTCAGGATACGTGCATCTTTGCAGATTTAACCATAAACTGTAATTTTCTTTGTCCATCTTAGCAGTATTAGATGCGAATGGAGTTATTTACTGACATTTTTCCCAGAAGCGATGACAATAACATTGTGCAACCGCACAGTCACAATGAAAAAGATCTAACAAAGTCATCAGACCCAAGAAGAAACTTCATGCTGCGTCACACCTACAATTAAGCCGTAATCGTAAATGAACTTAGTAACAGCTTTACAATCAAATTTGACCTACAAAAAATTGCTTCCAATGACCTCACTATTTTGGAATTTATTGATAAAATTCGTAGACGTTTTTCTCATCTCGTAGACGCCTAACACTTTTTGGTGATAATTAAATGGGTATGTGTGTTGAAGCTACCGTCATCCCATATTACAAAAATTAGCGGAAAAAACGATAGTATTACGTGATAAGGAGATCGTGAGAACTTTTCTGAAATAATAGACGACACGTGTGTAATTGCAAACTTCAAAATCTTCGCGGAAACTCGTACATTTCCCGCACGTCATCTTGTAGTTGCAGAAGAAGGGTAAAAAACCCATCGGGCAAAAGTGTCCTTCGCCATAGCAGGTGTACGTAAACGCATCTTTGCGGCAGCATTCGTTCCGTATTTGTTCACCTGATTAAACGTCGTCGCAGGTATAATGTTATTCAATTACAAATTAAGGTGGGAGATTTCAATAGTAGTGAAAGCCTAGAACTTCTTATCATTACACCTTCGGCTCATGGTCACTTCACCGCATTCAGTTTAGTAGTGTGCAAGTTTCGTGAATGAGTGAAATGGAGAAGTACTTCTTCAACAAAATCGACAACATCCATCCCTTCGAGGAGAAGAATTTTTCGGTGTTACTTTCGACGGAAGTTGATAAAGTGATTGCTGCACAAACCGATCCAGATTACGAACAATTTTTGGCGGACGTTTGGGTTGGAATTATCCTTACGTTGATCGTCCTCAGCTGCGTTTGCTGCATGTGCTCCTGCCTGCTGTACCACAAATTCCAGCAGTGGAAAAGGCACAGTAAGTATCGAATATCTAATTACCAACTTTCTAAAATATGCTTACCGCGTGTTAATTACACCAGATGATTGAGTCTTCAAAAACCATGAGGTCTAAAACTGTCAATGAACTGTCAGTCAACCGGCACATCCTTTTCGTGCAATTTCCGTTAGGTACTTTAGTAATTACCCACGTGAATCATCCGCATTTCCAAAAACCAAGAGATTGTGGCCCAAGATATTTTTGCGGTGACACACCTCTTGGTAATTCTTTAGACACTCGATATAAATAGTCAGTTTCTTCGTAATTAATCTGCATAAATAATTCATAAACATCAGAATGTGCGTATCATTTTTATTCTCTAGTGCATTTATCGCCTAAATACACAAACTTTGTCATCGCGTGACCCCCTATCTTGTGTTAAGTACTTATCGTCAAAATTGGTTTAGTAAAACTCATTTTTGCAGTTTCCCGCGTGACCTGCAGCGATCTTTGGGACGCATTTTCAACGTATCAAACTGTAAACAGTTTTCGCAAACAAATTGTGACGATAGACAACCTTGAATAAACATGGTTTTTTACCTTAATTATTGTACCTATTAAAACGTTGTGATTATAAAGAGGTGTGGAAGTGTTGGTCTGCCACCACATTTGTATCTGTTCTACCACTTTCTTCTTCGTCTGGTGGACATTTTCAAACTGAACTCTAAAAATCTTTGGCTTAATCAATTTTTAATTATTCACTACACAGCCCAGTTAGTTTTTTGTCCAGATCAGTGCTGTATTTACCTCTCTGAAGATTTCCTACCAGTAATTGTTTGAGAAAAGGCTAGAGACGTGACATATTATTCCTCCTTCGCTACGAAAAACTTTAAAACAATACGATAATACTGGCATGCTGATAGATTTATCAATCGGACGTGCATGGATAGTAAAAGCGTTATCTTCAAACCTCTCGATTATTATAATCCCATTTCTTGAACACGTCGATATCGTCAAGAGTTGACAACAGATATTTTATCCAACTACAAAGATTGTGAGGAAAATGGTGAAAAGATCTACTTTTATTTATTTAAAGCAAATGATCCTATTCATCCTTGCTTTGGAGACAGTGTGATACTTGGCTCATATGATTCTGGTAGCAAAATGACAATGATCAAATGATTCAAGTTAGGTATTTAAACATTTAAAGATTTTTCGTTGAGAGCATTCATTTTGCCTATGTAAGTACCCTCCTCCGACAATCTGTTCTTGAGATATAAGGAATTATATCCGATCACGATCATTAATTTCTTTCGTTGAGACCTTTCATTAGAGTACCATGAAGGATAAAACCAGTTCCAGCAACCCTCTTTTGATATGGGGTCAGAAAGAAGGGCGGGAGTTGGTAGAAAACAGTTCCTTTAATCTTCCCTCCCCTCCTCGGCCATCCACTAATCTCGAAAAGGAGTCGCACGTTTCACTTTCTAAAACAGCATCTCAGGAAAAAGCTCATGGGGGGACTCCCTCAGATAGCGGAATTTGATGGCCGTCTGGCACACCTTCACGGTATAGGCTACCTATTGCAACAAATTCCAGGACCCTACGATCTAAAAATAGGTTAACACGGACAGACGGACAGTCGGGCGGACAAAACGGAAATAATAGCACAAAATCTATTGTACCTTTTTTGCTAATTGTCTCATTATGGTGTCTAGTCTTGCACCAAGGCAGGAATGCGCGACTTATTAAAATAGTTATAACAAACAACCAATCTTTTCCACTCCTTGTGCCCTTTTTGTATTTATGAATCCTATATGCTTGCTGCATAGAGAAACCCAAATTCTTGATCCAAACTCCAATTTGTCTGAGGAAAGGATTAAATGCTATCACAGTGCTGGCACCTTTTTAGAAAGGCGCTTTTTTTAAATCGTTTCATCTGCACATTTTGACTTTTACACGTGAAATTTCTCGTTTATTATTATTACAAGTAAAAAAGTTCGAAATTTTGGGAAAAGTACTTGGTGGCCCCAAGAGGGACAACAATTTTAACAAGAGAATGATGGTCCAAAAAGTAACTGATGGCGTTTGGGGGATGGTAGTGCTCGAAAGATTTTCATGGCGTTAAATGGGGTTACGTAGTGCCAAACAGAGTGCAAAGATTTCACACATTACATTTTCCTGACATAGAATTTAAAAAAAAAATCATCTTTGAAGGGCAGGGCAGTTCCGAAGAATCTCTCATAGCTAAGGAAAGGTTCCACCTTGCTCTAGTTGGGGACTTTTAAGCGCAAACTTGTTCCTCTTGGTGCCATCAGCCTACAGTTGAGGCCACCATTGTTTTATATTAAGTAATAGGTACTTATTCTATGATGTGACCCATCACATAAATGTCCAAATATCGAAGTACCGGTACCGACACGTAAGAAGGCGAAAGATGGCGCATTCCCACTACTCATATTCTATTAATTGCACCTACTAGCGCGCCACGGAGTTTCTCCTTCAGAGTCTAAATTGGTCATCTGCGCATAGCTCGCTCTCGCCTTCCTACGTGCCGGTACCAGTACGTAATGTCAAAATATCGTGTTTGAGATCGAAATTTCGTATTCAAAGTTGGAAAAAGGTTTGGTAGTCACAAATAAATCAGGATTGTGTGGAGCCCGAAAGAGTGGTTGTTACCTAGAGGACTTGAATGGATCTAGCAGTTCCTAAAAGGTTCTGATGATAGCAAGAAAAGCACGGTATGATGGTGTCAAGCAGAGCAGAGCGACCAAGAAGGATTTTTATGTAGAACAACCGATTTCTTCCATTTAAGATCTGAAGTTCTTTAAATCTTCTTTGAACAAGCATTTTTCCCCAGATTCTACCAGTCTTGAAATGAACTTGTCGAACACCTCCTCTGACATTAAAGAGGAAGGTTCGCGATTTTTTGGCTTATGGCACCTTTCAGCTTGTCCAGTGTGCGGCGTTTGTTCGTGTGAACCCTTGGGAACTCCCACAAGAAAAATCCAAAACATTTCGTACTTTTTCGATCAGACTTCTCAATCAAAAGTTATAGACTAGAAACCAATTTCGAAAGAAAATTCAAAGGGCTGTAACTTTTGAACTAGTAGCCCAATCTTGGAACTGTTTAAATTATGGATTCTACAGGTCACAATCTATAAGAAAATTTCTTTTCCGGGTCGATCTGAGACAATTTTTTTTCCGGGGCTCAAAAAAGGCAGTGTATAACCTTCCTTTTTTACCAAAAATCGACTACCCCAATATTTCTCGGGAAAACACTTTTTCCTATTAATTTGGGTGCGTAGAATCTAAATCAATCCGTACTTTTTCGATCAGACTTCTCAATCAAAAGTTACAGACTAGAAACCAATTTCGAAAAAAAATTAAAAGGGCTGTAACTTTTGAACTAGTAGCCCAATCTTGGAACTGTTTGAAATTATGGATTCTACAGTGAAGTATTTGAATACTTTTCAATGTATCTGTTTCTAGTATTCGCTTGTGCTGGACGTAAAAGTATTTAGTATGCAAATACCTTTGATTTGTGTAAAGTATTTACTATTTAGTATTCAAATACTATTTCAAAGTATTCTACCCAGCTCTGAACGTTTGGCTCTAGGTCTACAGACAAAAATCCAACGCCGAGAAAACCCACCCTCTGGTAAATTAGCTCCAAGACTATTCGCCTGCGTGTGTTTTTGTTTATTTTCTACATTTCCTCAAGCTTTCGTGTAATCCGAAAATAGCGCCCGATTAACATTCAAATTAATAATTTGCTCACCGCTCCGAGGAGATTCGCTACCAAGAAAAATATGCCATCGCAGAAATATTCCACCAGGGAATTCTCCCCAAGATAAATTCCCGTTGAGCGAAACTGAATTTCATTCGTTCGGAAAGTGTTACATCCAAAATGGCGAATTCTGAATTTTGAAAAAGCCCTAGAAGAATTTTGAAACTTTGGTTCGGGATGCTGTACAGTAAATCACTTACGAAAATCCCCGAAATTTGCATATAGGAGACGCCATGATTTCTCGATGATTCATTTGTATAAATCCACCACCGCAAACTTGGCTGAGAAAGTCCTTCACTGTCATTACTCACGACTTCTAAAATGAAACGTTTTTTTATTGATTAGGTTTTAACCGGGATTGGAATTAGTACAATGAAGCAATGCAGCCATGAGTTCAGACTAATCTGATAATTACTCTTACATAAACGATGCAGTTTATGGTGCGAGTTACCTACTAAACTGGCACAATATTGTGCAGGGGGTCATGCAGAAAATAAAAGCACCATATAGGTATTATATCACATATTTTTCACAACGAAAGTGTGCCAATGTGGGAATTTGGAAAAATTGTCACGACAAGGTAATTTGCATTATCGCTCATGGTGATTTAAAATCAATTTGTTAAAATAGGACTCGTTAATCATATTGTTTTTAGTTTTGACACCTCAAATTTTGATTTATGGGTCGACGTAATCAGAAATCTAACAGTGGCATTTTTGCTTGCAGTTTTACAAGCCCGCAACGCCAACGTCGAAAATGGTAACGGTGAATTGGAATCGTTACCAAGCTACACCATAGTTTCCGGTCTTCCAAGCTACGCCGAGGCGCTCGAGCAGCTCAAGAAAGTTAAGGAGCAGAGCGCCCCGAGGATCGACGGCGCCGGCCCATGGACGCCGCACACTCCGCCGACCCCATCCCCAATGTCCAGGCTATCCGTAGCCGAACTGTTTCAAATATACAAGACTCCCAACTTGAATTTGGCAGTCAAAAATTAAAGAATCGGAAACAAATAACGATGTGCCAAAGTTCTGCAATGCATCGGGCATCAAACGAAGTACAAAGGTTTCAACATGTGCCTATTAGGTAATTAATTAAGGACAAAATGGCTGTGCTAGGTAATTCTTTTTCTAACGAGTAGCGGGTACGAAGATAGAACTGATCGATTTATTTGAGTTTGTGATAATTTAACTGCGTGTATGACGCTGGTCGTTTATAACTCCTTAGATATAATGCATTAAAAAATGTTAATATTTATTTTCAAATAAATGAAAGTTTTTTTTGTACATTTTGCGTAAGTACTTATTTTTCCTTAGCAAATTGTAATAAACGCAGTCACAAGACTGAGAAACACATGTCCGTTTCCAGGATATCAAATTGTACTTTATCTCCAATTGTCTTATATTTTACGCTCCGCGTAATGGTAATTACGCTAAATTTGAAATGATCATAATTAATGTTTGATATTATATTTTGGTACCTGCGTCAGTGGATGATTGAGGTAAACAATTAACTTGTTATTGATGGCCTTAAATTAATTCAAATCTTGTGATTAAAATTACATATCCTAATTTGTTTGGTAGCTGCAATTGTAAACCATGACCTATGTTATTTTGAGGATATTTTTAGAACCTTTGAATCGTTAAAAATGTTCTTAAGTCCTTATAGAATTTTCTCCTGGAGTCATAGTAGGACCTTCTTACGCTCTAAGAATCATGTTCATTTTTCTTAGGAGCTACTCCATCCCCTTGACGTCTTTAAGAATCCAATTAGATCTCTTTAGAATCTGCACGGAAAAATTTCGTGAATATCGAAATTCAGAGTTTTTATTAGTTTGCTTGATACTTCAAAGTTGCAGCTCCCAATTAAAGTAGGAATAATCGTCATAATGTTATAAAGATAGAGAGAGTAAATCGACGTAGGACGTTTAAACTGAATGCGCACCAGACAACAAATTAATAAATTTTATATTATATCTTTTTTAGAACATGTGTACCAATTTTCAAAGCGATGGGGCGTTTCTAAACAAAGTTATCGTGGACATGGACAGACAAACGAGCAGACAGACACAGCAATATAAAATTATAAATGGTTTCGAGGAGGATTAATAGCGTTAGTCACGTAATCTAATTTTATTGTTTGATACATTAGCGCAATTCTTTAGTTTCGGGTTCCATGTTTTGTTCAGAAGGTTCGTTCATGCGCTGATAGCACAGTTTCAAAACTGCGGACCTATGAACTGTACAGCCAATGCGGCCAAATAGAAAAGAATATTGTTAGGAATATTAAATAAAGTTTTAATCAAAAGCGTATTTACCGAACTATGTATTCGTCATTGTAATTAATTGTGAACTTAGAACTTGAAATTGTGATTAACCCAAGGGCATTTTGTTAATTAAAATGGTGCACACAAAGCTATGGGTTAGGATAAATTGTTCATAATTAAAATGAGTCAATTGTATTCTAAATTGTATGACCATGGTCCAACTTTTGTCTTCACTATCTTCACCAACATTTTTTTTTCGCAAAATTCTTTTCCCAATTTGTACTTTCTTTTGTTGTCATTAGTAGAAAACGCATTCATCCCCCGTCCCTCGTTTTGTTCAGGTTTTCGGTTATTTTCTCTAGAAAGTGATATTATTCATTTTTTTGGCGATAAAATACTTCACAACGTTCGCTTCCACTTATTGTCTTCAGCGACAATTGGAAACTTCTTCCCGTGTAGGGGCGGGAAAGAATACCCCTACCGCAGAAAGTACTGCGTGTCGTAAGAGGCGACTAAACAACAGCAGGTCGGGTTAGTTAAGTGAATGCAAAAGCCGAATAATTTTTCCTTATTATGGATCTTTACCTATTATTAGAGAACCCACCCTGAGATGTCTGCTATCAAAATTTTAAACGACAAGTACCGTTGGCGTATATAGAGACACGTCCAACAATGTTATATGAAGGTCTTGATTTACCTTTGTTGATTTTGCATTTTGTTCATGGTAAAATTTAGCATCACTTTACTTTCTGCATCCAATCAGTATAGTTCAATTTGTTAGTTTTAATTGAAATTATATTGCCTTCAGCTGTTTGTAACTCAGGGTAGGTGATCCTTGAATTTGGTTTTGTTTGCTTTCAATGTAAATTTTATTCCTATTTTGATTTGTTTAATTGACCAGTTATTAATTTTTATTTTATTGTTTACACTCATTAGGTTAATTTGCGACTTCAATTCTTTGTGTACGAATCTGCCTTTTTTGAGTGTCATTAATTTACTTACTTTGTAGCATTCATCTCGAAATACAACTTTAGTCTAAGGTTACCGCACCCAGGACCTTCAGATACCTTCTGGACTAGAGAACGTCCGGCTAATTAACAATGTATTTCATGTATTTTATGTAAAAGACTTCCCAATGTTATTTTTCGCAAATGGGAAAGAAGTGGATTCGCTTTGAAATCTATTTAAGCTCACTGGCCATTCTTTTGCTCATCAAAATGTTGTAAACTAACTTAAAATAAGAAGCTGACTTTTTATCTATCAAATCCCATTTGAGCGGGTTTTTAAGTGGTAAACTACATGCAATACAAAAAATGTACGAATCAAATATATAATTTACAATGATTTTCTTAAAGATTCAGTTTACATAAATGGAATTACAGTATCTCATTTACATAACACTTTTGCAGGGAATGATTTTGATACAAAATACTACCCTGGAAACAACCCTCCTTACTGCGATAATGGCTCAGGAAAATTGACAACGAGCTGCAACTTGTAAATTTGCATGTTAGAAATTAGTTTACTTTAACATTTTTTTTCTTCAACCGTAACTGACGCAACAATAGATCCTCACGACAATTATTAATTCCCGAAGAAACGCAGAACAACTCATTTTCTTCCACTGTACCTCTACCGCCACATCATTCTCCTCCTTTTTCCCTTGTTTAAACCTACCTTCCATCTTCGCCTTCGCGTCCTTTTTGCGTATTTTCCGCGCACTTAAAGGGTCTTAATCTTTCCCTGTTTTTTTAAAGATCAAAGACCTTGTCTCTAAAACCAACTAGACTAGTCCTAACACTCTTAAAGTTTCTTAAAAGCGGGTGAAAGCGCATAATGGTCCTTAAAGGCTCAAAGGTTCTTAAGCACTAAACGCCTCGTAAAGACTCTAAACCATTTAGAAGGCAGGGGGTTGATTCAATACGAACCTTAAGAGCCCTTAAGGGGCCTTAAAGCTGTGTTTTTAAAGACTATGAAAGAAGAATGGTCTTAAAAAATTAAATGTCTATTAGAGAAATTTGAAAACCTATGAAAATACTCTCACATATTAAGGAAATACCTTAATGGCTGTTTTCGGTCTTAAAGATCTTTCAATGCCCTTTAAGACTCTCAAAGAATCATAGTAGGTTACACCGTTTCGGGTTTGAAACAGAGGATAAAATCGTAAGCACTCTCAAAGCTTCTGGAAAGCTCTTATCTATTTAATATTTTTGGGAAGTGTTCAAAACCCTTTAAGGCTCTTAAGGACTTTTAGAAACTCGCAAAAATTTTCAAGGGCCCACAAAATCTTTAAACGACTCTAAAACCCAAGCTCTTGTGGCGAAACTTAATTCCTTTGGAAAATAACGAAGGTTCTTCTAACCTAATGAAAGGTACAAAAAACACAAGATATTTATTCACCCGCAACAGTGTTACATCTTTCCAACTGGCTAAGACGGTGAGTGTTCCTCCTCAGGCTCTTCTTCTTCCTCATCTTCTTCGTCCGCCTCCTCTTCGGCGCCATGCTCGACGACTTCACCCGCCACAGGTGCGACCTCCTTCTTTTTACCCCTCCTACCTTTCTTCTTCTTCACCTGAACGACTTTGTCAACCACCTCATCTTCAGGCACATCGTAGTCTTCTGGGAAGAACATCTTGCACTCTTTCTCCCCGTCCACGGTGTTGTGACTCATGTAAGTTGGGTTCAACTGCGAGAGAGCGCACCAGGCGTCGCTCTTCTTCTTCGATAACTGAATCACTAACTTGATTCCTCTGGAAGTAGCGTCTGTAGTGAATGGAAGCGAGCGAGTTGTACTTACGGATCTCTACTGCGGATTTTCACGTATGCCTCGGTGGTCTTAGCAATTAGTTGCGCTTTTCCTGGCTTGTCGCTGTCGAAGTATCCGTAGCGCATGATCGAGTTTTCGTAATTTTGGAGCGTTTCAAACACGTCGCGCCTTTTCAACGAGTCAAAGGCGATGGCGATGTGCGGCGGAATCGGAACGGGCTCAGGCAGAGCGATGGGATCATACACTTTTGGAAAGAGCAACTTGATGGCGGTCGCTCTGGTTAGGCTGTTGGGCGGAACCCAGATCCCCGTAACCTCTACTCCTTCGCCTTCTTCGACCAAGTTGGCGGCGGACAATACGTCGTCTAGCATTGCTTTGGAGTGGATCACGGAGCGCGAATACGCAGGCAACTTCGACGGGGTCGCGTGGATCGAGCTGCCGGATGAAATTGAAGTCGCGGATGGTTTTAGGCCCATTTGCGATTCGACCGGCCCGCTTTTGGGCGCGACGATGTAGCCTTTCAAAGACTGGGCCGGCGATTCTTCACTGCCCGGTGGCGCTTTCATCTCCCCGTATATAAATTTCAGCACGGCCTCGTCGACGTCCCCCTCAAAGTCGGAAGACGACGGCTTGGTCAGGTACGCCAGACCGGGGCCGCTCATTAAATCCGCCTTGTCTTGAGGGAGAAACTCTACTTCAGCAAAGTACAGCAACTCCTCCAGCATGGCCTCCGTAAAAACCGGCCGTTCCGTGTACCCGATCGCGAGACCGCTCGGTTCCCATAAGTCGGCCAGGGTCGGTTTAACCATATCCTTCGCTTGCGGGAAGACGATAATTACACCGTTCTTTGACAAATTGGAGAGGACTACGTTCGCCACCGCCAGTCTTCGCTCGCGAATCTTCTGCTGGCGATCCTCTTCTTCGATCCTCAAATGTTCCTGCTCAATAGCTTGCTCGGCTTCGAACACTTCTTGTTCCTCAGGTGACAGTGTGGTTACATTCCATCCGCCACGTTCCCTAAGCCCTTCTCGAGCTTGCGCTTCTCTGTCCAATTCTTCGATTATTGCCGCTAGTAATTTGGGGGAGTTTGCGCCGAACATTAGATTTACCACTTTTCCTTTCTGAAAGGAATCGTGTTATCTTTGATGGCTACATGCAATTTGGTGCTATTTTAGACGTCTCATACCAGTTTTATGCTTTTATGGTTTATGAATTAGTACTTAAACCGAATAGGGCTCCAACGTCACTTGTGTTTTAAAATTAGAAGTACTTTGAATCTCAGTTTGTGCTCAATTTGACTTTTTTTGTGCCATCTACATTAAATGGTCTAGTGCTTTTTGAATTATTCCTTTTTCGAATGTGAATCCTATGTTTTCACTGTATTTTCAAAGATTTCCCTAAATGTTCTTCAGATGGTAACATATGATAACAATTTAAATGTTTATAAAATGTTTATTAAATTTTAAGGGATTCTTTAAAGAGTTTAGGAACTCTGGCTCATTAGAGAGATGTCTTCAGAAGCTTCTCCAAGATCCTTTAAAGATATTTTATTACTTTTTTTAGGGAGCATAAAGGTTCTTAACATGCTTTCGAAAATCTATCATAAATCTGATAAATCAATAAGTATTTTTGAGTTTGAGAGTATTTTTGATAAACATTTCGAAGCCATTAGAAGGTTCTTTGATCAAAATGTCCCCACCCCCGAAAAGTCCATAATAATCTGTAACTGAATAATCTCTAAAATACCATCTGATGAATAGGTACTTCTGTGAAGCATCTTAAAAAATGTTTCTGCATTCTCTAAATGTTGTTTCAGAGCCCAAAATTGGATCCATTTGGCAAAAGTAGCACAAAATGAGCGCAAATTTGAATTCAATGTTAAAAACTGAATAGGGAAAAAACCACATGAGCACATATTGGGCATGTAACGGCTAAGCGTAGCACAAAATGAGCACAAAATTATTGTATTACTGCAACTTCGTGGATCTCCGAAATGTACTTACGGTGATGAACATCCAGGTGGGCTCACTTTTGTTTCTAAAGCGCTTTAGTGCAGATATGAAGTCACATTTTGCCTAAAACCATCAGTAGTTGAACGGGTAGACATTGAAAAATAGACTTACTTGAGCAATGTGAAGATTATCACCGCCAAGCTCGAGCTTTATTTTTTTCAAATTGTTCAGCATGGCGGAGCATGGTCCGCACCATTCCGAGTATATGTCTACAACTGAATCAGGATTTTTAACACGTTAAATTTGGCTTCAAGGAGGCGGTATTGTTTATTTGTTTAGGGGTCATTGATAAGTAAGTGATTTTGACCAGCAAGAAAGAATCATGGAACTTTTGATCAGTGCCATTCCACTGATAATTTACACATTCCATGTGATAATTTGAGTACTATGCAAACGAGTTCGAAAAAATAAACAAAGTGAAAGCTTGATTATATCATATTATGTGACCTTTCAACTATTAATCAAGCACGTAAAGTAAATATAGGTATGAAAATAATGATCTCACCAGAAATGGTATTGCTACATACAGCTAGAAACTATCCAGCCGTCATGAAAAATTAGCATCTAAGGGAAGTAACTAACCTATAAGGCCATCCTTGAGCAGTAACTTTTCCCATTCTTCATCCGTAGCCACTTCAATTTGTAACTGAGCCTGACCTTTCTTACCGGCCATGTTGGAATTGTAAATTTAGCACCGAAAAGAAACCCCCAGCTTTAAACTTAATGGGGTTGGATTACATGACAACGTCAAACTATTGAACAAACGCAATCGATCCCCTTTTTTCCAGTTGCAACCGTGAATTATTATAACGTTAAATAATTAAGTTTAATTCGTTATTATCATTATTACTAGTACAATTTCTGAAAGGCCAATTGTTAGACTTAATTTTTTCCGCCTTTCCCATTAAAAGTAGCACAATTTCATTTAAATAATTAGATTCTTTAAGTTCTTGAGAAAATTTACGGCACTCCCTTAAAAGTATCCTCGATCTCTCATTCTCCTCCTACAAAGAAACGGGCAAATTTACGAGGTAAACCCCTAATTTGTACTCACCTCCAGAAATACTTTTATATGAAGCACTTCCCGCTGCATCTCCTTTATTTTACAATTGAGTATGTCTAAATTTCGGTGCAAAAACGCGATACACTCGAGATATTTTTCCGCGCACGTAGTTTTTTGGCTAAGTTTCAGTAGTTCCGATTGCGGGCAATTTAATTTTTGCGCTCCTCCCGGATTCGCCTTAATTCTGCGGTTGGCCGTTTGTAACGTTTCATTGGATTTAATTAAATTTTCATCCAAGGGATCGCTTTCGCTTAATTTCTTGAAAAGGGAGAAATTTATAACGGATAACAGTAATTTGTTTTCCCATACATTCGGCGAGATCATAGTCGTCAACTTTTCTCTCAGAGCGCTCGAATTTTCGTAATAAAAATCTTCCTGGCACCTCTCCACCTTCTTGACGAATCCCTCGGGATCCAGCAGCGTTTCTTGCACACTTTTAATTGGAAATATCGCGATTTTCGCATCGCACGGTTTACAGGCGATAATATCGTCCAACCACCAACCGAAGGAAGAATCCTCGTCGCTTTTGCACGTACCGTCCTTATTATAAAACTTCATCTTCCGCACTAATTTGCTGCCGAATTAAAAGATTTTAATCTAATTAGTGGCATGGCACGCCTTGCTATGGGCTTCTGAATACTTAGTATCACTAAACCGATTAAAAACAAATATATTCGTTTAATTAATATCAATAAACTAATTTACTATCGCTTACAAGGCAAACTTATAAGCAATGCCATTGATGATAAAGTGTGACACACTGTACATTTCTAGTCACTTTAAACGAAAATAAAATTGGCGATGTAGTAACGGGCAACCTCGTTTTCTTTATCATTTCTTATCGGAACTTCAGTTCAATTGTCGTTATTGTTTAGTGTTTATTTATACATGGGGATTTCATAAAGTATCACCTACCTCTCCAGACATTGATTTGTTTTTAGCTTACGGCTGTATAGAACCCGAACAGGCTGCTATAATTTTGGTAATTATGTCCATGATTTTCATCATTTTTTTTATGAAGAACTTATGTTTTTTTGGAAAATGATAAACCTCTGGGTGTTAGAATGTTGCTCTTCTCTTGGCTTGTGTCAAAGTCGAAGAGAACAGCGCCATAACCGTGGTTGAGACTGCAAGTTGTAACGCGAGCATTTATTTCAGTTAAATTTTTTGCTATTTTTCTCGTACAATTAGGGGGAAGTAAAATTTCTAAGTTGAAAAAGTTTCAAAAACATTCCCCCAAACAAATATTGGGCATGGTCATTTTTGTCGATTGGATTAACAGCGAGATTTCGTCATCTTCCCACGTTTTCCAAGGGGGTATTTGTTCTAAATCGTATTTTTTGCCTCGTAGTCTGGCTACGGTTTTAAATTACAGGCTGGAAATTAGTCGTGTTATGTTACTTCTACAATTCATCACATTAAATACAGTTTGATAAAAAATAAGCTGACATCGCAGAATTTGAAAGTCAAATATAGCCCTGCAAGCCAGTTGAACCAATGAAATTTGATAAAATACCGCCGCCATAGCTTTCACTATTGAGTGGGCCTTAAAAAATTACTGGGTACTTGAGAGGGGTTATTTTTGCACAAGATAAATGAAAATACTCCATTATTCCAAACGTTCCAACAAATTGCTGTTGAATAGTGTATAGCGGTAGTTCGAAGAAGGGGTTTGGATTGTCCAATTTTACATGTATGATGTTACTTTGGTCGAGTAATTCCAGCCCCCCTTACACTTTTCCTAATTTTCTTATCCTTTTCCAAAGATTCCTATTAATACAGTCTATCTCGTGGCCACGTATCAGTTCTAATTCACACAATACATTCCTAGCGGTTTGTATACAAAACACCTTAAAGCTAAACAAAATTTGAACTTATGCAAAGGAATATTATATCACTAAAAATAAACAAATTCCGTTCTATGGATCCAATTATAATAAATAAATGCAATACATGTTTCATGCAATAATTTCCGCAGATCGGTTTCTTTAGGGATTACATTAAATAAACATCCGCTGCAAATACTGGTAACCGACCAGTATTTTATACCATTAAAAAATCAAAGTAACTTACGGATATCACTGGAATAGCTGACACAAGTGACACGGCGCTTCCTTGAAAAAGGCTGCCTCCAAGAAAAATTGAAAACTAGATCGTTTTGGAGTGGAACCCTTTTGTGACCTGCTTCGTGTTAAAGTCAGTTAAAGTTAGTGTTAGATAAAAAATAATAGGCGGCATATTTCATAGTTTAGAAATATTAGAATTTTTACCGTAACTGTCACATGTAGGTAATAACGCTCAATCTTGTAATCAATAATATCATTTTCATTAAAGTTTAACGTTGAATTATATTAGGTTATGGGCGCAGACCTTCGTTTTAGTGTTTTTTCCGTTTCGAATTGTGTATTTGTGAAGTGTTGTTAAATCCACACATCAGCAGCAGAATGGATTTAGCAAAGCACATTAAACCATTGACTGGTGAGTCAGACTGGCCAATTTGGAAAAGGAAAATTCGTGATTTACTTGATTATCATGAGGGAGCATTAGATGGATAAGAAGCTAGAGAAACCGACTCCGCTTAGTGCTAATCCAACACGAGATGAAGAAAAAGCATTTAAAGCTACAAGCGATCTGTATCGAAAAGCTAATAGTTATGCCAAGTCAATGATTACAAGTACAGTTTCTGACACAGTTTATCAGAAAATCATGGACAAGGTTACGGCGCATGATGCTTGGGAGGCGTTAAAACAGCAGTTTGAAGCTACATCCAAAGATCAGCTGTTCAAGATTTGTACAGAGCTATTTTCATTTGGTTGGACATCGGGCGAGGATGTTTCCACACACGTAGCCAAGCTCAAGAGTCTATGGACCGAGCTGAATAACGGGTTAAAAGCTAAGAATGAAAATCCACTCCCAGATCTACTATTGGTATGTAAAATTTTACATATTTTACCTAGTAGTTTTGAGAATTTTAAATCGAGTTGGATGCTGTTAACGAAAGATGAGGTTAAAACATTCGACGAATTAACCATGCAGATTATTATTTTCGAACGAAATATAAGACAGCCTTCAAGTAATGATAGTGATAAACAAGTAGCCTTGTTGGTTAAGTCAAATAAGCAGACAAAGAGGGGTACCGACAATTTCAATTTTGTATCGAAACTTAAGAAAGAAGATACCTGTAATTACTGTCAAAAGAAGGGTCACTGGGTGAGAAGTTGTAGAAAATGGATCGCAGATGGTCGTCCTAAACGTAGTAGTAGCAGTAGTAATGCTGAAAGTAATGCTGCAGAGTCTCAGGTCGCTTTAGTCTCAATAGATAATGAAGTTTTAGCTACTGAACCAAATTCAGAGGATTGGTTTGTGGATAATGGGGCTACTAAGCATGTAACTAGTCGTTCTGATTGGTATTGTACGTTTGATGAGTTTAAAGATCCGCGCACAATTAAAGCAGCTGGAGAAGAACGTTTGATTGCTATCGGGAGCGGTACTATCAAGGTCTCTTCAATTGTCAATGGGAAGAACCAACATATTTTATTGAAAGATGTTTGGTACGTTCCGAAAATTTCGAGAAATTTATTTTCACCATTGGCTGCCCATGATAAAAATTTAAACAGTGAATTCGGATCCACCGTAACCACTTGCTCGTTTTTGGTAAACGGCATCATAGTGTTGAGTGGTATTCGAGAGAAGTTTGGATCATTGTATAAGGCAAATATTAGTCCAATTTTGTCCCAAAACAGGGCATCAGTAAAAATAGTAGAAGCAAACGATCATTTACAGTTATACCATGAAAGGTGGGGTCATCAGGATAAGCGTTACGTCAAGAAAAAGCTTGAACAAGAGTTTAATCTTAAAGTTAAGTTTGATGATACAATATGTGAACCGTGCGTATATGGTAAGGCGCATAGACTTCCATTTGGTAACAGAAAAAGTGCCTCACAACCGGGAGAACTTATTTCGGTCGATGTTTGTGGACCCTTTTGTGAGTCTTTTCAGAAAAAACGTTATTTAGTGGTATTTAAGGACAGTTATAGCTATATCGTTACGGTTTTATTATTAAGTATAAATCTGATGTCAAAGTAGTTTTAGAACAAATGCTAACGCATGCAGAAACTCAGGGTCACTTCATTAAAGAGCTACTCAGCGACAATGGAGGTGAATTTGACAACGCAGATGTTCGAGAAATCTTGCAGAGACGGGGTATCAGACAGCGATTGACAGCACCGTATACACCACAACAAAATGGCGGTAGTGAAAGAGAAAATAGAACAATTGTCGAGATGGCACGTACGTTCAAGTATTCCAATTCTGATGTGCAGTTTCCGGACGCGATTTGGGCTGAGTTAGTTACAACAGCGATCTACATTCTGAATAGGACTGGGAAGTCGTCAGAAGATGGTATTACTCCATATGAAATTTGGTATAAGAAGAAACCCAGGATAAAACACCTTCGAATCATCAGTTCGGCCTGCTATATCCATGTTCCAGATCAGAAAAGACGAAAAATGGATAGAAAAGCTGAAAAAGGCTACTTAGTTGGTTATGATGGAGATGAACGATATCGAGTGTACGTTCCAGAGAAGAAATGCGTTGTTTTATCTCGAGATGTAAAATTTAATGAAGTAACTCAAGAATGCGAAGAAAAAGAAAAAGTATTTTTCAGGAATAGATTGTCAGAAGAAGATGAATCAGAAAAAGAAGACCAGATTGATAAACCAGAAATTACTCAACCTGAAGGCAGCACAAGAACTAAAGAAAGCAAAGAAGAAAGTGATGATGAGTGCAGTAGTGAATATAACAATGAAAGATCGTTACGTAATCGAGAAATTATCCGCACTCCAAAGTATCTTGAAGATTACGTTATGGCGATGATGACAGAGCTCCATCCTCAAACATATGAAGAAGCTATACAAGATAAAAATCGTGCATCTTGGAAAAATGCCATGGACAATGAAATGGCTTCCTTGATGGAAAATAGCACATGGGAATTAGTAAAATTACCCACAGGTGGTAAAGCAATTGCTTGTAAGTAGGTTTATAAATTAAAATTAAATCCAGACGGAAGTATTTTAAAATACAAGGCAAGATTGGTCGCAAAAGGATACAATCAAAAGAAAGGTATTGATTACAATAATATTTTCAGTCCAGTTGCAAAGTTGCAAACTATTCGTTTGATACTTGGTATTGCTGCAACAGAGAAAATGCATTTGGCCCAATTTGATGTCTCAACTGCATTTTTACGGTGGTTGTAGTAAAACAGGTCGTTCAACATCAGGAGTACTGGTCAAATATGCCAATGGAGCTGTTTCTTGGATTAGTCAGCGACAAGGTTCCGTAACAGAATCTACAGCTGAAGCAGAAATCGTAGCTGCAAGTGAAACCGCAAAGGAAGTTATTTGGCTTACTCGACTTTTGCAAGAAATTACATTTTTAAAGGAAATTCCAGTTATCCAGATTGACAACGCAGCAGCCGTTAGACTTTATGAGAATCCCGAAAATCATCGCAGAACCAAGCACATTCAAAGGAAACACTTCTTTATTCGTGAGCATGTTAGTGAAGGCACTTTGGTTGTAGAAAAGGTTTCATCTGAACATCAGGTAGCTGACATTATGACCAAGTCTCTCGCTCAAACAAGATTACATATCCTTTGTGTAAAGATGGGACTTGTATAATTATTAATTTTTATCAAACAAGGGAAAGTGTTAAAGTCAGTTAAAGTTAGTGTTAGATAAAAAATAATAGGCGGCATATTTCATAGTTTAGAAAGATTAGAATTTTTACCGTAACTGTCACATGTAATAACGCACAATCTTGTAATCAATAATATCATTTTCATTAAAGTTTAACGTTGAATTATATTACTTCGCTAAATTGTCTCTCGGTGTATGGAAATTTTCAAGATAATGAAGCTGTTATTTTACTTTGACCGCATTCAAAACTTTCGTCAAATTCTGAAAGAAATAATTTGAGGTGTTGTTGGTGCACAGGATTTGAAAAAACAAATTATAAACCATGCACATGCTCATTTTTCCGCCTAATATTTGAGTTTTTTCGATAGCAGAATAATAATAATAAAACAAGCCCGTTTTACCTTTCGGGTGACTGGCACTCTATGTACACTATTGTTCCAAACTCTCCTGTCCACCGGCCATTTCTATCGCTCCACGTCAAGTTTTCACTTTTTTATTTAGTAGATCGCCAATCACTTCATCCCAGGTTTTCTTAGGTCTAGTTCTTTATATCTTGCAATACGCGATGATCGCTCTTCAAATCGTGCGATTTAACATGGACGATCGTAAAAATTGAACGGAGAACTCGCACGCTATTGCGATATTTTTCTTATTTTTTATACGCATGTCGCCCAGCAAGAAACAGAAATGGAACCAAAGCAAATGCCCCGATGGCTTGCCCTGTAATCGAATAATCTACCCGTATTTCATTTCCCTACACCTCTCACCGAACGATTCTATGCAACCAACGCGCTTTTCTAAATACCGTCGTCTTACTGCTGTACCTAATCTCGAGTTCAGCTTTCATATGAAGCGGTACATAAAATTTTCCTATACTTTAATGAAATATGAACTCGGAAAATTTAAATCCGCAAATCGAGTTACTGTTACATACTGTTATGCAGGATGTGACACAACTACAGGAATCTCAGACAACGATTTCTCAAAGTTTTTTAAAATTATTAATATTTTTGGGAGATTTTTGGACTGTTCTTGAGATAAATCAACCCCCCACAGGTAATCTCCAAGTAATCTTTTAAGAAGGGCACTAAATGTTGTCCGGAATAAAATAAATATTCAAAAATTCTATAAATAATGTTAGGTACAGATTTTTACAGGGACCTATCCATAAGACGTTTATCGCAAATCTCCATACTTCTCCAGATGTTTTAAGAGGACATTAAATTCTCAACATCATCAATTTTTATTACTATGCCCTGCTCATAGATTTCTGGGCGATAAACACCAGATCACATCACCAAAGCGATAAACCGTATCTAGTTCATCCAATATCTATAAGTGGTACTTGAACGTTCTTCTCCTTCAAGAAGGTTAGCTTAGTCACACATGAAGAACAAGCTTGCGGTTGATAATTTATTAAGAAGAAGCAATTTTTTAGTTATTAAAATCTGCATATTGCCTTTTATCAGTTGTTACAACGCGACTGTTTTTGGGGGTTTTCCTCAACGACTGAATAAGTCATAAGTTCAACAATTTTTCATAAATTGAAGATCTTGAGCCATTGAAAGTACTGCCACTTTACCGATCATGTGATCAATGGCCAACTGCTATTATTCACAAAACGTTTTTATACGTCATGACTAAACGTCTAAAGCTTCCCGCCCAAGATGAAATTATCAATGATTACCAATGGGAAAAGCTATTGGAAACAAAAGCGCTCATTGGTAAGCTTTTCTAACAACAATATCGTAAATAAAACTGTTCACTTTAGTCGTGGAGGTTCATGCAGGCTGGTGTGGGCCTTGCACGTCAATGAAACCTACCATACGAAGAATCAAGCAGCAAGTTGGAGACGATGCCAATTTTGCCGTGGTAAGCCTTTTTGTTAGCTCTCACAGTAACAACAATTGCGCGTTGCAGGCAAACTCGGACGACATTTCGCATCTAGCGCCATTTCGCGACAAAAGCGAACCGACATGGCTATTTCTTAGTGTAAGTATCTCTACCCATTCAAGAGTTTCGGCCAATTCGTTTTTTTCGGCAGGAAGGCGAGATAGTGAACGTAATGCACGGGTGTAAATCAAAAGAATTGGTCGATTTGATTTCGGCAGAGTTGAAGAAGGAGATTTTGATCCAGAGAGGCGAAATTGAACGCGAAAGTTTGGAGTTGGGCGACGTCCAGAAGGACGAGTCCCCGCTTGTCAAACCACCTCCGGCGCTGCCCGAAAAAGCCGCCGAAAAGGAAGTTCTCGCCCTTCCGTTTGATGAAGAATTACGCTACAGACCGTTTAGCGTTTCCTATGAGTGATACTTGTAATGTGTACCTAATAAATTTTGCTACTCGGTTCAAAGGTCCTCAAATGACCTAATCGTGTATAGTGATATAAAGATAAAAATACACGTGTACTAGCCCGCCCGCACCTTGAAAAAAAACACGAAAAATGTATGACCCAACCGCAAGTTAATGGTAGGATGGTGTCCGGTGAAGCTTCCAAAATAGAGTCGTTAACAAAAAAAATTATAATACACCCATATGATAAGACTAAAAAAATCCGTAACCTTAATGGGTCTCGAATACCAACACAAAAACTTCAATAATCGCTTCACATATTAAGGTACGCGAGACCAATTACAGGTAAATGTTATCGCAATTAATCTAGGTTTTGAATTGGTTGAATTGATAAATGTACTTGTTTTTTTGTTACTCGCTGATAATCTGTCATATGCGTAGGGGATTTTAGTAATTTTAGGTGATAGTGTCGAAGAACAACCGTTAAGCTCGGTAGCATTGAACAGTAGCCACAAGAAATGGTTAAAAACGGTTTGGTAAAATAGTCGTAGCTGGGTAAGTTTCATGAGTGTGAATTTTGTTTAATTTTTTAGCCATAAACATGGAATCACAGTAGATACCCAGTGGAAAACCAGTTTCGGATCTAGAAGTGGCCCCAAACTGGAGTACTTCTCCAAAAGACCTCATTGTTTTGATTACCACTGGAAATTGTGACCAGGATGGCATTGCAATCTAAGTTTCCCTTTACCTAGAAGTAGAAGAACTGAAACTCTTGTAGCCCATGAGTGAGAAAAACTGAAACCATATTGTAGTTTGTTAGATATTTTGGTTTCAGTTTTTGTTAATCCCAATCAAAATAATTGGCTATTGGTACGTGGAAAATTGTAACCATTCTTTTTACTGGCCCCATGGCCTATACCTATGTTACTTTGTGGGACTTGCTTTTCCATAATACTACAATCAAATTAGTAAAAGCGACCGGCAGATGTTGACAGAAGAATATCGATCTCTTCCATCGTACCAGATGATTCTTCTTTAAGTTTTAAAAAGGTAGTCTGGAAACTACACATTTTAGATGCTTCTTCAAAAAACTAGTTGAATAGGTAGGTATACGGCTACATCGTCGTAGTACTTTTAGGATAGGTGGCCCAATGAAAACGAAACAGAGCTCGAAAATTTTAATTTTAAATTTGAGGAGGAGAAATCCCTCACTAATTTCCTCTCTTATTTCTAACGTTACTATCTCTAAAACTGTAAGTACCATGATAAGACAACTAACATATGATTAGAAAGCCTTCCTTTCCTGCACTGGAAACCCTATTTTTTGAAAGATTTAATAATTTGGTCATTTACCGTCTACCCAAGAATCGTGCAATTGAGAGAACGTGTTGAAATTGAAACTACTTTCGGGTGGTTAAAAATTACGAGAAATCCTGGTACACATAGTTACAGCGGGGGGCATCTTTTGTCCCTCTAATGCCCTAGCCTAAGGTATGGAAAGCTTACCGAGGAAGCAGTCCTATTGTATTTGCAATTTTAGCATTACATTTTTCGGCAAACTACTTCTTTTACTTTTAGTATCTTTGACTTTAAACTGCATTAATTATTTGAGCTAGTGGGTGGCGCAGTGTTTGAAGAAAATCACACACAGGAAAAATATAAAACGGCACCATTAAAGTCACTAGATATAGAAAGTCATCCGCCATTTTTGGGCAAATTTGCTGACAACTTAAAAAAATTGACAATTAAAATCTGAATAGCTGTAATTTTGTATAACCTAACTTCATAGTACGGTCATGTTTTATAAAAATATATAGGTACAGATATCTCCAAACAGGTGGAACAATCCCTAACATTAAAGTTACTAGAATCTGGTAACTTCCGCCATTTTTGGGCAAAAATCATGCGTTCTCTCTCTAACACACGAGCCCAAGGATTGCGGTACTTTCTATATTTAGTGATTTTAGGCACCATATTTGAAAAAAAAAACAGAAATTAATCAAACGATTTCACGCTTGGATCTTTGACATTGACAACTAATGACGGTAGGGCAGTTTAGTTGGCAACAGATTACAAACTTAACAAAATTTCTCACTCAGTTTATTTTTCACCGTAACACTGACTCGTGCTTTAACCAATCACAGTGAATGTCAAAGCTTCCCATGTTTTCTCCCGCTACCTTCTTAAAATGAAAATAGTTTATATGCTTCATCGTTACCGGTTTCAGTTATTCTACAAGATCTGTAAAAATAGTTAGATATGTCAGTTTTTCCCCGTGTAGGGGCGGGAAAGAATACCCCTACCGCAGAGGGCACTGCGTGTCGTAAGAGGCGACTAAACAACTGCAGGTCGGCCGCAATCCAGAAATTCCGATGGTTTCAGCTGAAATGTGTGACTTTCTTCGACCCGCAAGGGCTACGTTAGCTTCAATCTTCTAAATTGTGCAATATTCGTTACAAATATTTGAAATGATGATTGAAGTTTTAATAAACCTTCAAGTTTCAAGTTTTTGGGACTGTGGAGGGAATTATTTTAGTTGCTTTCAAGTAGACGGTCTGCTTGAGCTTCAGAAATCCTCACTAAGTCTGCGATTTTGGTTTTTGGTGATACATAAACCGTCGGGACGAGTCTTCTGCTCGCCAGGAGAGAATGCCGGTCACAGAACACCTGATTCCGGTCTACCATCGTAAGATTTAAGGCCGTCGCGCACTTCCGGGCGAGGAGGGGGGGGGGGGCTCCTTTTTTGCTCACATTGTATAACAGTAGTCAGAGTTCGCACTGATGCTTAAACTCAAACCCGCCGCATAAACGGCCAACTAGCTCAGGGATAGAAAATAAAATAAAAGCTTGAGATCTTCATCCTCCATTACCACTTACCAATGGGGTTAAGCGCCACTCTACTTCCCCCCCTCCAACTCCCTCCGTGTGAAATTGAGCAGATACGAGGGTAGTAATAACAATAAAATCAATTCAGATACCAAAAGAAATACTGGTTTTTTTCTCGATATCAAATCGCAAAAGGTTGTCCACAAAATTGGACAGCGTATCACCCAAATACAAAATATTCCCGAAATATTTAAAATTATTAATTACTTGATTATCCTTATTCCATTAAATCATTATACTAAAAATATATTGAGGATAATAATATATTATTGGTTATAGAAGAATAACCTCCACTATACCCATAGCACAACATAATAATTATCATCAGTTCACTATCATTAGATCATTACGTCTCTAACCAACGAAACTATACCTTTGTTTCTATTTGATATTTCTTAATGATCTAATGATAGCAAACTAATGATAATGATTGTATAAACTTACCATTGGAGGATCTTATAAATTAAAGTTTGTTACAGATGCGCCAGGTGTGCCTATGGTTCAGAAAATCTTATTAGGTCCATTTCGGAACAGGGCAATGACGATAAAAGGGTTTTATGAACCATTTTTCAATTATTCAGGACTTAAAGGGCCATTTATGTTGCTTATGCTTGTTTCAGGTGAAATTTCGCGGCGTCCCCAAGACTCCGTAAGCTTAAAAAAATCTTCAGAAGAGTAGAATTTCCATTACGTGTGTGGAAAATGGACATAGAACTCTGCTTGGACTTTCTGTTCAAGTTTTGGAGGCTAGAGTGTCTTATATCTTGCTTAGAATTGTTTTAGATGCTTTCTTCAACAGTCAGGTCTATTTTAGCTTCAGAAACCTTTCCTTTATGTATGTTAAAAATGATTATAGAAGGTTGCATGAACTTCGGTTTGAAAGTTTGGGTCTAAGGAACCTTTTAAATTGCTTAAGTTTGGTTTCATACGCAATTTAAGACTTCTTTCAACTAGCAAGTTCCTCTTTCACTTTTCAAACCTTCTCAAAATTACAATCTCTATTACGGATTTTGGAAAAGATTAAATCAACTTCGTTTTTAAGATATCTGGGAATTAGAGGACCTTATAAATTGTATAAGCCTGTTTCAGATGTAATTTTTAGCATCCGTCAACCCACAAAGTCTGCCAGAGTTTCCGAAGACCTTCTAAAGGCCGTAATTTCCACTATGGATGATAAAAAGTTCAATGAACAATTTTTTCAAGTTTTGTGTTTGTTTTAGATACAATTTTGGTCGTCTTTCAACCCGCTAGACCTGTTTCAGTTTCAGAAATTTCCAATACGGATGTGGAAAATTAGGCTAAAATGGTTTATGAACTTCGTTTTCAAGCTTATGGGAAGATCTTTAGTTTGTTTCAGATGCAGTGTTAGTCTTTCAACTCGCCAGGACTATTCAGAAAATCTTTCATTGCAAACGTTGAAAATTGTGAAGTGAAGATTTAATGAAACCTGCTGGGAGCTATGGTGGACTGAAGTACATCACATACAAACCAGTGGTGCGCTATTTGTAAGTGTTAAAAAGTGATTTTTTTTCCAAAAATTAGTTAACAATAAACTTATAACACTTCAAATGAATTTTATTTATAAATTATAACAGTTAAAAATATTATTTATCGCTCACATATAAACAATTTATAACAGCGCGAACTATTTTTACGTCGGTGTGAAAATTGTAATTGTCTGATTCGATTTGCTTATGTAGCAAACGCCCCTCTTTCTCGAAAGTTCCGAGTGTTCTAGAATGTTCTCGAATAAAACGCGTCATATTTCCGGAAATATTGCGTCACATCCGCCTTCGTACTAACGATGTTTATTCGGATTTCTGAGTTACTTGCAAAGTGTACTATTAAAAACATTGTTTAAAATTTCGTCAGTTAAAATACGTAAGTGTCCTCATCGATCTTGTTACGTGCTTTATAAATACCTTGACTTTCCTATGTATGTAATCTTTCCTTGATACTCATCTTCCGAATTTGGTTTTCTATATTGTATGAATAAAAACGTTTTTTAGCGTTATCAATTCATCAAATTTTAAACGGTCTTTTTTGTGCGCATTGAGCATTCAGCTTTAGTTGTATCTTTAATATAATAAATAAATAATTATAACTAATGAACACTTTCTACAATGTAGCCGGGATATATCCATGAAAAATGTTCTGTACACCAAATTCAGCTTTCCTATTGTGTTAGCAACGAAACATGACGCCCATAAATATACGAATTATAACTACAAGAAAAAAAGTATATTTTTTCTTTGGTTCCTCAAAATTTTACAACACATTTTAGTCAGTGATAAGGCTCTCTTCCTAAACGTAATTAAAGATTCTGCTGTAAGATAGCCCACATAGTACCGAAAGGAGTCGCGACGTCGGTGGAGACATCGATTTTCCAGGAGTCCTGCGCGAAAAACGCGTGTAAAATCACATTCGGGTTAAACATCGTTACAAACACACATATCTGAACTCAATACAGTTAACGTTGAACTAAATGTGCAAATATCGTTATTTTAAATAGCAATGAGTCATATCGTTGAGGTGAGCGAGACGCCTTTTTGGTTCGCAGGATGAAATAAACGTGTCGGTGTTGTTTATCGAATTTTTAACCTCGCCGCCGGGGCTTGCGATGTTATTGAAAATATTCTTTGAGTGCCGCCAGGAACCGTGTATATAGTGTGATGTGACTTTAGTGGCGAGTAGAAGAAATGCAACGGGAAAATAGGGGGCCCGGACCCCCTTGGGGAATGTTTTTAATCTCCATATCTTTCCTGCTGGGAATTGCTACCCTTTCCGCCGCAGAGAAAAGCAAATATTGTGAGTTTTTCCATTTCTTTTTAATGTACGTACCTACACCGAACGCGATCACTATGCTAAAAGTGTGTATAACTGGGGGTTATCGATTGAATTCGCATTTTAGACACATTAATTAAGTTCTGCGTTAATTTCCGTTTTACCGGTTTGCGTCTTTGTGCACGATTTTAATAGAGCAATTATTGATGGAATAAATGGGAAAAGATGATATGTCAGGTTTGGAGTTAACGGAGCTTAAAGTCTCCCGGTGGTTTTGAGTAGGAAAACTGTTTTCTTGGTACACGCAAATAAAGTAGATTTTATTGTCTTACTAATGATCTTAAGTACGGCTTGGGGACAAGTTTAATAAGGTAAGTTTAGACATTAGGGGGAGAAATTTTGAGCTCATCTTAAATTTTCTTTGCGGCGAACTTCACCGTTCCAAACTAGTTTAAAGTAATTTAATTACGTTACCAAATTGTTTCAAATGT